TCTCATGGAACCTTCTAGAAAATTGACCACATACTCGGTAACAAAGCAAACTTCTGATGGAGGAAGGTCATTGGCTAATAAAGGAACTGCCTTGGCCCATTTTATTGGTTAGAAGATAGATGGGAGGAGTAAACAGAACAGAACGCAGGGAGGAAGAGGAAGTGAGCTCAGACTCCACAGCTCTCCTCTCGGGAGCAGACGCCTCAGAGAGACGCCATGTTCCTGGCTCCTGGGCAGACGCACGCTATGAAGCTCGGACCCAGGATGGACATAGGCTAGAATCTTCCCGGTAAGCACACCTAGGGGCGCAACACAGATGATTAGAAATGGGCTAAATTAATATGTGAGAATTAGCCTAGAAGAGGCTAGATAGAAATGGGCCAAGCAGTGATTAAATGAATACAGTTTGTGTGTTGTTATTTCGGAGCATAAGCTAGCCGAGCAGGCGGCCGTGATGCCAGGGAGGCAGCCCCGCCGCCCTTATTACTACAAACTTCCACAGATATAAAAAAATATTAGTAACCACCTGTGTCTCATAGGAGCACCATGGAATAAAGTTAGAATTTAACAATAATTCTACTCCCAGAAAGCCTACAAACTCATGGAAGCTGAACAGTCGACTACTGAGCCACACCTGGGTCAGGGAAGAAATAAAGAAATTAAAGTCTTCCTTGAATTCAGTGAAAATAAAGACACAACATAACCAAACCAACGGGACAATTTGAAAGTGGTGCTAAAAGGAAAGTTCACAGTTCTAAGTACCCACATTAAAAAATGGAGAAATCTCACATTAGAGACTTAACAGCACAGCTGAAAGCTCTAGAAAAAAGAAACAGACTCACCCAGGATGAGTGGAAAACTGGAAATAATCAAACTGAGGGCTGAAATCAACAAAATAGAAACACAGAAAACAATCCAAAGAATCAATGAAACAAAGAGCTGGTTCTTTGAGAAAGTCAACAAGATTGACAAACCTTTATCCAAACTAATCAAAAGGCTGAGAAAGAACACGCAAATTAACAAAACCAGAAATGAGAAGGAGGACATAATAATAGACACTGAGGAAATTCAGAGAATCATTAGATGTTACTAAAAAAGCTTATATGCCACAAAGTTGGAAAGTGTAAAAGAAATGGACTTGTTTTTAGATAAGTGCCATTTGCCAAAATTAAATCACGACCAGGTGAACAATTTAAATAGATCTATAAGTTGTGAGGAAATAGAAGCTGTCATAAAAAACCTCCCAACCAAAAAAAGCCCAGGACCTCATGACTTTAATGCAGAATTTTATCAGAACTTCCAAAAAGAGCTGATACCTATACTCCTTAATGTGTTTCACATAGTTGAATCAGAAGAGTCATTGCCAAACTCTTTTTATGAAGCTACAGTCACCGTGATTCCAAAACCACACAAAGACCCAACCAAGAAAGAGCATTACAGGCCTATCTCACTCATAAACATTGATGCAAAAATTCTCGATAAAATTTGGGCAAACAGAACCTAAGAATACATTAGAAAAATTATCCTTTACGATCAACTAGGTTTCATCCCAGAGATGCAGGGCTGGTTCACCATACGTAAATCTATCAATGTAATCCATCATATAAATAAACTGAAAGAAAAAACATATAATCATTTCACTAGATGCGGAAAAAGCATTTGACAAAATTCAACACCCATTTTTGATAAAGGTTTTGGAGAGGTTAGGGATACAAGGATCATACCTAAATATAATAAAAGCAATATATACCAAGCAAACAGCTAATATAAAATTAAATGGAGAGAAACTCAAAGCCATTCTACTAAAATCAGGAACAAAGGCAAGGCTGTCCACTCTCATTATATCTCTTCAACATAGTTCTTGAAGTTCTAGCAATAGCAATAAGACAACATTAGGAGATCAAGGGGATTTGAATCAGAAAGGAAGAAGTCAAACTTTCGTTATTTGCAGGTGATATGATAGTGTACATTAGTGACCCCAAAAACTCTACCAAAGAACTCCTACAGCTGATAAATACCTTCAGTACTGTGGCAGGTTACAAGATCAACTCAAAAAAAAAAAATCAGTAGCTCTCCTATACACAAAGGATAAAGAAGCAGAGAGGGAATTCAGAGAAATGTCACCTTTGATGATAGCCACAAATAGCATAAAGTATCTTGGGGTAACTCTAACCAAGGAAGTGAAAGATCTATTTAACAAGAACTTTAAGGAATTGACAAAAGAAATTGAATAGGACACCAGAAAATGGAAGGATCTCCCATGCTCTAGGATGGGTAGGATCAAAATAGTAAAAATGGCAATTCTACCAAAAGCAATCTATATATTCAATACAATCCCCATCAAAATCCCAACAAAAATTCTTCACAGACCTTGAGAGAACAATAATCAACTTTAAATGGAAAAACAAAAAACCCAGGATAGCCAAAACAATCCTATACAATAAAAGCACTTCCAGAGGCATTACCATCCCTGACTTCAAACTCTATTACAGAGCTACAGTAATGAAAACAGTCTGGTATTGGCACAAAAACAGAGATGTTGACCAATAGAATTGAATCAAAGACCCAGATATTATTCCACAAACCTATGAACACCTGATTTTCAACAAAGGAGCTAAAATTATACAATGGATAAAAGAAAGCATCTTTAAAAAGTGGTGCTGGCATAACTGAATGTCAACCTGTAGAAGAATGAAAATAGATCCATTTCAATCACCATGCCCAAAACTCAAGTCCAAATGGGCTAAAGACTTCAATAAAAATCTGACCACACTGAACCTGATAGAAGAGAAAGTGGGAAGTAGTCTGCAACACATGGGCACAGGAGACCACTTCCTACATATAACCCCAGTAGCACAGACAATAAGAGCAACAATAAATAAATGGGACAAACTGAGAAGCTTCTGTAAAGCAAAGGACACTTTCATTAAGACAAAAAGGCATCCTACTGATTGGGAGAAGATCTTCACCAATACCACATCAGACAAAAGTATGATCTCCAAAATAAGAACTCAAGAAACTAGACATTAAATCTCTAATTAACCCAATTTTAAAATGGGGTACTGAACTGAACAGAGAATTCTCAACAGAAGAAGTTCAAATGGTCAAAAGACACTTAAGGTCATATTAAACCTCCTTAGCGATCAGGAAAATGCAAATCAAAACAACTTTGAGATACCATCTTACACCTGCTAGAATGGGTACAATCAAAAACACCAATGATAACCTATGCTGGAGAAGATGTGGAGTAAGGGGAACACTCATCGATTGCTGGTGGGAATGCAAACTTGTGCAACCACTTTGGAAATCAGTGTGGTGGTTTCTCAGGAAACTGGGAGTCAACCTACCTCGGGATCCAGCAATTCCACTCTTGGGAATATACCCAAGAGTTGCCCAATCATACTACAAAATCATTTGTTCAACAATGTTCATAGCAGCACTATTTGTAATAGCCAGAACCTGGAAACAACCTAGGTGCCCCCCCCCCAATAGAAGAATGGATAAAGAAGGTGTGGCATATATACACCTACTCAGCGGTAAAAAATAATGACATCTTGAATTTTGCATGCAAATGGATGGAAATAGAAAACACTTTACTGAATGAGATAACCCAGACCCAAAAAGATGAATATGGTATGTACTCACTCATAAGTAGATTCTAGCCATAAACAAAGGACATTGAGCCTATAATTCATGATCCTAGAGAAGCTAAATAAGAAGGTTAACCCAAAGAAAAACATATAGTTATCCTCCTCGATATTGGAAGTTGACAAGACAATAGTGGGGAGCACAAGGGTGGGGTTGGGGTAAGGGGAAGAGGAGAGGGGGGAGATAATGGAGAAGAGGAAGATTTGGGAGAGCTTAGGAAAATGGGATGGTTGAGATGGATGATTAGTGGATATGGGAGCAGGGAAGAAGATATCTTAATTAAGGGAACAATTTTAGGGTTGACAAGAGACTTGGCTCTAGAGTGGTTCCCAGGTGTCCAAGGAGTTGTCCCCAGCTAGGTCTTTGAGCAGCAGAGGGGAGGGCGTCTGAACTGGCCTTATCTCATAGCCACACTGATGAATATCTTGCATATCACTATAGAACCTTCATCCAGCGATGGATGAAGATAGAGACAGAGAACCACACTGGAGCTCCCAAGGTCCAAATTAGGAGCAGAAGGAAAGAGAACATGAGAAAGGAAGTCAGGACCGCAAGAGGTGCATCCACCCACTGAGACGGTTCGACTGATCTAATGGGAGCTCACCAAGGCCAGCTGAACTGGGACTGAATGAGCATGTGATCAAACCGGACTCTCTGAATGTGGCTGACAATGAGGGCTGACTGAGAAGCAAATGATAATGGCACTAGGTTTTGATTCTACTGCATGTACTAGCCTAGTCTCTTTGGATGCACACATTCCTAGACCTGGATGGAGAAGGGGAGGGCCTTGGACTTCCCACAGGGCAGGGACTGGAGAGGAAGGGAGAGAGTGGGAGGGAAATGGGAGGAGGTAGAAATTTTTAATAAATAAATAGATTTTTTAATAAATAAACTTTGATGTTTCCAATGCACTTTAAAATGCCTCAGAAAACCATTATAGATACAGAGAGTGAGCTGGACAAATAGAAAGGAAGTGATGGCAGCAAATGCTAGAACAACACACAGGGAATGCTGTCACTGTAGCCATGTCTGGAGGATGTCATCATGTGGGAATTACTTTGTCAAGGGTCTATTAGAGACAAGGGAGATTGATCAGCTTGCTTTTGAATTCCAGAAAATGTTCAGCTGGTTGTGTATATAGATGAAGGTGTAAGCACAGTCTCTCTGTGTGTGAAGATGTAGGTATATGCCATATGTAGATGAGGATGTAGACAATGGCTGTGTGTAGTTGATATAAGTGCTGGATAAGAGTAGGTGAGACCATAAGCCCTAGAAAGAGTACCATGTTGATTTTCCCAATATATAAACAATTTTGCCCTGGACACAACATATGAGAGTAAACACAGACAAGATTTGCATTGAAATTGTTTAATGGGTATTTGTAATTTTTCACAATGCACTTAGTTTTGCCAATCCAAACTCATAGTCTCAGAGTTAGCTGATATGCTTGAAGTTACTTTAAGAGAGCTAAGAGCTAGCACAGTCACTAATCTGTCTGGAAGACCTCATGATCAGCAAGAGAAATGGGAACATTCTCACAAGAATTAAAACAGACTGATACATGAGTTGAGAACTTACTTTTAAGCAGTATAAGTGGCCAAATCTAAGAAAATGTTTTTGAAAGGTCACACATTTCATTACAAGTTTCTGAGCTGAGGCAGTTTCAGTTCTATCCACCCAGAGTTCAGTTCCCTTAAAAACCCACCTTGTCACACACTGTGGTTGTTCTAACTGCCTGGATGCTGAGATCATACACAAGGCCTGGGAACTCACACAGCTGCCATTTCACCCAAGATCAACTTGTCTCCTTAAGATTTGATGTGTGTGAATCCAACAAGGGAGAGATGAAGATTAAGTTTGAAAAAACTACATGTGAGTGACTTCACCTGTGAATAACGGATAGAGATGTGTGTGACTATTGAAGTGTTAGACCACTGTCACCAGCATCTGCTGCATGGGTTAATGAAAAAAAATGGAGGTTTTTCTTAAAACAGTGAACACATTAGTCAGCATTAAGCCTCTTGGGAAACAGTCTCCATTTTGCTCTTTTTTTAAAAAAAATATTTTTATGCTTTATTTTAACTTTATTTTATGTGCATTGGTGTGAAGGTGTCAGATCCCCTGCAACTGGATCGTCAGACAGTTGTGAGCTGCCATGTGGGTGCTGGGAATTGAACCCGGGTCCTCTGGAAGAGCAGTCACTGCTCTTAACCACTGAGCCATATCTCCAGCCCCTCCATTTTGCTCTTCATTCTTTTCAAAGGCTGCTTATATGAGGGGAAAGCAAGGAAGTGTGACCTTTCCTGTAACTACTTCTAGAGCGAGAAAGAGACAGAATGAGCTGAACTGGAAGCACACGGCAGTTACAATCGGCAGTTCCGAAGATACTGGGTGAGATCTCGGTTTTGACAGTAGTTTCTCCATGCCACCCTGTGGAGGAAAGTGAGAGGAGAATGGTTACACTTGTCTCCTCTGTCAGACATATTCCTAAAGCTTGGGGGGAGAAATAGTGTAACAGTGGCACTAATGGTGACCAAGATCTAGTATGAAACACAGGCTACAGCTACACCTAACAACTGCTGGAGCTGTGTCTACATGGCAGTGTGATCCTCTCCAAACCCTGAGCAGAGCCCAGTGTCCTCACTGTCAATGTAACATCATGTGCAAAAAGCAGTTAACTGATCTACAAATAGTCTGGAGGCCTAACAAGGAAGTTGTCATGTGTGGAATTCTCACAATCTGAAGAAATTCCCTAAAACTAATGATGTAGAGAAAGTCCCCAGCTGTACCTGCAGTGCTCAGAATGACACTTGGGTCTCAGAAAGACTCACTGCATAGATCAACAGAACCAGCAGTCCCCTTCCCAAGTTCCCACATACCATGCTCTAATGCCTTGTGGATCTCTCACAACCCTCTTTGCACATTGTATGGCTTGAGTGATGTCATCCTGGAGCAAAGCTAAAAGACAGGGGTGGGGGATGACAAGGACGGTTAGAGAACCCATTTAGTTCAGATCCAGGCAGCTTTCTTCTGTGACACTGAGCAGTGACACAAGGAATTAATTTCCAAGTGTCCATAAATCTGTGATTACTGGAGACAGATTCTCTTGATTCTATCCTGTTGAAACGGTGTAAGTTCTTTTATTTCTCATTTATGAAGTCCCTGGGGGTTGGGATATACTTGAGTGGTAGAGTGTTCTTAGGATTCCAGCACTGATAAAAAGTAGAGAACACACTGTAGTAATGAGAATGATTGACATGGAGGCTATGGTACTGTCAGCTAATGTGAGAGAAGTTCCTCTTCCTTCTCACACTGAAAAAAAAAAACCTCACTGGAACTGTCACCTAGGCATAGCAGTGAAAATATATCCCAAAGAAAAACAGAGGCTGGCTCAGTGACTACGGGTCTGGATGCTCTTACAGACGACTTGATTCCCAGCACCCACATGGCAGCTCTCTGGTGTCTGTAACTCCAGTTCCAGGAAATGGGAGCCCTCTTCTGGCTTCCACAGGTACCGGGCACACAAGCAGGCAAAACACACACTCACATAAATGAATACTTTAAGAAAGAAAACAATGCACAAGCTTTGCGTGAATAAAGCTCTTACTAGGGATTTATAACCAGTAAAATAAAAATGGCTACAGCTGGCATCTCTGCCATGAGGCTGGAAAGCTAAGGAATGGGCTGGATCCAGCCGCCAAAGCCACAGCTTTAGTCCTACTGATATTGCTTGGTAAATTAAAGACTCATGTGGTCCCAAAAGAGACATATACAGTAAAAGAAAGGTTCAAAGTCGAAGAAAACATCTAAATGGTTTACAGTGTGTTAAAAATATATGTAGGATAAAGGTTAAAGTTCTTAAAGTAAAAGAGAGAGTAGTTGTGTGTGGTGGTACACACCTTTAATCCCAACACTTGGGAGGCAAAGGTAGATTGACCTCTGTGACTTCAAGGTGTGGCAGGACACACCTTTAATCTCCATGCGTGGGAGGGAGAGACTAGTGGATCTCTGTGAGTTCAAGGACAGCCTGGTCTACGGAGTTATTCCAGGACAAAGATATACAGAGAACCTGTCTCAAAAAGTCAAAATGTAAAAATAAATAAAATAGAGGTTAAAATAAAGCTGCACAAAAAGGGAAAATACACAGAGAATCTTGATACTCTATGCTATTATGCTCTCTTTGAATTGTTTGAATGCTGAGGAAGGAACAACAGCTGCTAACTGAGATGAACCTAGCAGACAGGTTATACCGTGAAAGACCTAAATAACAGCGCCCCCATTCAGCATGAAGTAGTTTTGAGAGAAAAAACTATGCCCATGTTCCCAAATATTGTTTATAAATGTTCTTTTACATTTAAAAAGGGATATGGTATAGATATGAATAATTTGAATTGGTATGTATTTTAAGGTCAATTTTATTATATGTGTTGTTCTTAATTCCTGCAGGTTAGACGACAGAGACGGTTACACGAGGGAAAGACACAGACATGCGGCAGTCTCACGTGGGTGCACTTTTAATGGAGGAGGGGCAACAAACAGGTGGGGAGGGGCGTGCAGACACGGTAGGAAAGGCGGGAAGAGAAGGGGGAGAGAAAGGAGAAGAGAGAAGAAGAGAGAGAGAGGGGACTCGTGGCGGCCCCCGCTTTTTAACGGGGAATGCAAAAGCTTCTGGGAAATGTGTCCCCAGGGGAACACTGGGAGTTGTAGTGTCGCAAGAGAACAACAATATGTATATGTATTTCTGATATTGATTAAGGTATTGTGATTGTATAGTTCATTTTAAAATGTAATGTATAATTAGGAAATATAGGTTGTTAATGGATAATCATCAATAATACTCGTTTGTAGTCATGTTAGTTAGACTTTCTAGATATGTATAGATATATTTCAGATAAGCATTCTTCATATCTTTCAAAGACTACAGAATATGGCATTTTAAATATTTTAAAAACTTAGGGTTTTTCATGACAATGAAACACGTCTGCTCCTAGCAGCACCAATCTACTTCAAGAAGATGGGCATCGAAGAGGCTCCTTATGGAGTTGGATAGCCATTTGGGCAAGAAACTGCTCTTGCCTGGACTGTTGCATAAACTGGACACAGAGAACCTGCAGAGAAGGGACTGCTGAACTTGCCTAAAAGAAGGTGAGATGATCTTTCGGGGTTCCTGATTCATGAAAGAAGCTGTGAGACATTCTGTAGGACACAGAAAAAAGTGACTGAACTGTCTTTGAATTTTCCTGCTTCATGGAAATGTCTGCTGGATACTATGGGCCTGTAAGCTGAAGATGGATGCCCCAATGGTACAGAGGAACTTTGGGTGACTGTACAGGCAGTGAGATGTCTCTGTCATTTCTAGAGTTTTGGAAGTTGCTTACTTCTTGTTTACTTAGGTAATATTATATCCTTCTGGAGTCTTTCATGGAGTTGAAGAATGGTTAGTTATAGTTATAGTTTTCCATTATTATGATAAAGATAAAATAGATATAATTATTGTAACTGTAATTCTTACTTGATAACTGTTTTGTAATACGTAATTTTACTATGTTAAAGTTAAAGCCTTTTTTGTTTAAACAGAAAAAGGGGAAACGATGGAGGAGGGTCATCTGTCTATGTGTTACTTTCATTGGTTAATAAAGAAACTGCCTTGGCCCTTTGATAGAACAGCAGCTTAGATAGGCAGAGTAGACAGAACAGAATGCTTGGAAAAAGAAGCATATTCAGGTAGTTGCCATGATTCTCTGACCCGAGATGGATGTAGGCTAGAATCCCTCCCAGTAATCCATCACCTCATGGTGCTAAACACATTAATAGAAATGGGTTAATCAAAATATGAGAGTTAGCCAAGAAGAGGCTATATATAATGGGCCAAGCAGTGTTTAAAAGAATACAGTTTGTGTGTTGTTATTTCCAGGGCTAAGCTAGCCATGCAAGAGCCAAGTGGGTCAAAAAGCAGGGCTGCCCGCTATTCCTTCTACATTGTAGTAATGAGAATGATTGACATGGAGGCTATGGTACTGTCAGCTAATGTGAGAGAAGTTCCTCTTCCTTCTCACACTGAAAAAAAAAAACCTCACTGGAACTGTCACCTAGGCATAGCAGTGAAAATATATCCCAAAGAAAAACAGAGGCTGGCTCAGTGACTACGGGTCTGGATGCTCTTACAGACAACTTGATTCCCAGCACCCACATGGCAGCTCTCTGGTGTCTGTAACTCCAGTTCCAGGAAATGGGAGCCCTCTTCTGGCTTCCACAGGTACCGGGCACACAAGCAGTGCACAATTGTATATGCAGGCAAAACACACACTCACATAAATGAATACTTTAAGAAAGAAAACAATGAGCCAGTCGGTGGTGGTGCACGCCTTTAATCCCAGCACTTGGGAGGCAGAGGCAGGCGGATCTCTGTGAGTTCGAGGCCAGCCTGGTCTACAAGAGCTAGTTCCAGGACAGGAACCAAAAAACCCTGTCTCGAAAAAATCCAAAAGAAAAAAAAAAGAAAAAGAAAAAAGAAAGAAAGAAAGAAAGAAAGAAAGAAAACAATGCACAAGTTTTGTGTGAATAAAGCTCTTCCTAGGGATTTATAACCAGTAAAATAAAAGGAGTCAAGTTCTCTAAGACTCAAGACTAAAGTGTGGTGTTTTCAACATGGAGAATATTGTTCCTACAATTTTGTTTGCAGTTTAAGATTCAGGCCAGTATTTGTTCCCATGGATGGAGTTTTGAGTAATAACCATTTTATGAAGCAAGGCAAGTATAATTTAATTTGTTTAAAGAATGTAAAAATCTGTCTATATTTTTGTGTGAATACATATGTGCACAGTATAACTTCACTTGCACCCACAGCATAGACCTGTAGTCTACAAGAGTGTTGTCCAAAGGTTTCCAGTTACATCAACTCTCTAAACACTCAAATGGGAAATGATATTCCAATCCCTTTCAATGACTGTAGATGAGTGGACAAATGCCTTTAAAAGTAGACAAAATAGGCTACATAAATGTTCCACAAACTCTTTTCTCTTGAAAATGTTAACAACCAGGTTTAACAAAGTAGGAATTAATAGATCATTGTTTAGAGTGCTTGACTAAAATGTAACAAGTCTTGAGTTCACTCACCTCACTGGAACAATACAACAACATCAACCAATTTTATTCATTCACTAAAAATTACATATTACTTCTATCATGATATGAGTTCAAGTCCTACCATCCCAGCCTTCAATCCTGATATGAACCTTGTTTGTTCATTTCTTAAAAGAATAAGTTTCAAGCTTGCTCCAATACTGAGGGGACCTGGGAGTCAGCCAGCAGGGAGTTTTCCTGTAGCTAGGCTACCCCTCAATCCACCTGGCCCCCACACCTGCCTGCTTGCCTGTGAGCTCAATGGAACCCTGGAACACAGCTTGCTCCAATACTGAGGGGATCTAAGAGACAGCAAGAATTAGACCAAGAGGCCACGACACTGCCAGCCACATTTGAAGGAAGAGATGGGTAGGCTCAATGCAAGAAATCCTCCAACATCCTAAAAAGCAACACCAGAACCCAGCAGACACACAAAAGGAAGACTTGATCATCCTAACACAGAAGTATAAGAAAATGACTTTAAACGTAAATTTATGAAAATGATGAGACCTTTAAAGAGGAAGTGAAAACTCCCTTAAAGAAATGGAAGACAAGACAAACAAAAAGTTGGAAGAAATTAATAAATTCCTCAAAAAAAAAAAAACCCAAGAGAAAACAATCAATCAGATGAAGGGAACAGTTCAAGACATGAAGACTGAAATAGAGGTAATGAAAAAAACACAAACTGAGGGAATTCTAGATATGAAAAATCTGAGTAAATGAACAGGAACTACAGAGACAAGTAAAACCAACAGAATATAAGAGATAAAAGAACGAATCTCAGGTGCTGACAATACTAGAGAGGAAACAAACTCATTAATTAAATAAAACATTAAATCCAACAAATTCTTGACACAAAACTTTCAGGAAATCTGGGACATCATGAAAAGAGCAAACCTAAGAATTATAGGAGAAGAATTCCAGCTCAAAGGCACAGAAAATATATTCAAAAAAATTATAGAAGAAAACTTTCCCAACCTAAAGAAGGATATCCCTATGAAGGTACAAGAAGCTTGCAGAACACCAAATAGACTGGACCAAAAAAATCCCCTCACCATATAATAATTAAAACACAAAATATACAGAATAAAGAAAGAATATTAAGAGCTGCAAAGGAAAAAGATCAAGTAACATATAAAGGTAAACCTATCAGAATTATACCTGACTTCTCAATGGAAACCATGAAAGCCAGAAGGTCCTGGAAAAATGTGCTTCAGACACGAAGAAACTATGATGCAAGCCCAGACTACTATACCCAGCAAAGCTTTCATTTACCATCGATGGAGAAAACAAGATATTCCATGACAAAAATAGATTTAAACAATACCTATCCACAAATCCAGCCTACAAAAAGTAATAGAATGAAAACCCCCAACCCAAGGAAGCTAACTATACCCACAATAACACAGACTTCTGATAACCCCCCACCAGCATAACCCAAAAAACAAACACTACTACTAAAAAAATAACTGGAGTTAACTGGTCATAAATAAGACAACATAAGGAGATAAAGGTAATTCGCTTAGTATCAATGGACTCAATTCACCTATAAAAAGACACAGGCTAAGAAAATGGATATGAAAACAGGATCCAGCCTTCTGCTGTTTACAAGAAACACACCTCAACCTCAAAGACAGACACTACCTCAGAATAAAGGGCTGGGAAAGATTTTCCAATCAAATGGACCTAAGAAACAAGCAGGTATGGCTATCCTAATGTCTAAAAAAATTGATTTCAAACTAAAATCAATCAGAAGAGATGGAGAAGGATACTTTATACTCATAACAGGAACTATTCATAAAGATGAAGTTTCAATCTGGAACATCTAAACCACTAATACAAGAGCAACCACATATGTAAAAGAAACATTACTAAAACTTAAATCGTTCATCAAACCCCACACACTAATAGTAGGATATTTCAACACTCCTCTCTCACTAATAGACAGGTCGACCAGACAGAAACCTAACAGAGAAATAAGAGAACTAACAGATGTAATGAATCAAATGGACTTAACAGACATCTATAGAACATTCCACCCAAATAGAAATGAATATACCTTCCTCTCAGCACCTCATGGAGCCTTTTCTAAAATTGATCACATACTTGGTAGCAAAGCAAACCTCCACAGATACAAAAAAAAATTGGAGTAACCACCTGTGACTTATCAGATCACCATGGAGTAAAGTTAGAATTTAACAACAATAATACTCCCAGAAAGCCTACACACTCATGGAAACTGAACAGTCAACTACTGAACCACCCCTGGGTCAAGGAAGAAATAAAGAAAAAATAAAAGTCTTCCTTGAATTCAACAAAAATAAAGGCACAACATATCTAAACCTAGGGGACACTATGAAAGCAGTGCTAAGAAGAAAGT